GTTTAGAGAACCTTTTCATGATATGCTAATTATTTGAGATAGAAGTTTTGGGTTTTCATGAGCTGTACGCCAAAATCATCAATATTAGAAACAATAAAAGGCTTGAACTACTTCAGTTGTGTGTGTAATGAATCTAATATATATGAAAGTCTAATGTTGATCAGTACATTACAGACAATAATGAACTTTATCACAATATGCTAATGTTTTGAGGACCTGTATATGAACACACACACGTCTTGGCTGTTGAGAGACGGTCTTTACTCGTCCTGCTGCGTCTCTATCTCACCTTTGTCTCTGAGTCATTTCTTCGTGACCTGAGTACCGTACTTCTGCTTTTTCTGCTCTTGAAAGCTAATATTTGCACACACCAATAACCCTTTCATGGGTCAAACAGCCAGATGGAGGCTTGAGGCGTGATGACATCACCAGAGGAGTGAGGAGACGATGTACTCAGGCAGACGCGTGTAATTACAGGGACTCTGGCACAAAGACACGCCGCTGCCGTCGTCGGCGGTTTGCCCCTCAAACACAAACATGAAATAAGTTCTGCATTTATTATGTAAACAAGAGCTGCTGACTCGGCTTTTCTGTTAGAAACAACTGTTTGTTCTTTGTGTCCAATCGGAGAAAGATGTTTAGCCCGAGTTTCAGAGCTGGATAATGGTTCTGGCTCAGCAGGAGGCAGACTGGATGGTTACGCGGCTCCGAGGTTATCTGATGAGTGGTTCTGTGGTCAGAGGAACGCCGTTCTAACCGAAGCACCAGGATGAGTCCCAGCTTCCTTCTAAACTTCTACTCGAACATCTCTGGTCTGACCACGTCTCCCTGCAGCGTTCCTCTGTGGGAGGGGAGAGGAAAAGTACTGCTGTGATCCCGTCACACCCTCAACCCCAAAACAAACTAACATTGCATAAGTCAGCCTCACACTGGGCCCGATTGATGCCTCTGTCCAAGGGAACGTCTTATTTTTAGTTCAGTTTGTGTTCCTCAGCCTCCGAGCCCCACCCCCTGCTGTGGTTCAGTGGCTCTGCTGAAGATGAGTCCACTTCCCTCTGAAGATCCTCCTCGGGCCCCTGTGAGCATCCCTGTGGTTCTGTTTGCTCAAACCGAGGTCAAATATTAGCTGTGGCCCTGGAGCAGCTCTAATGGGAGGGAGGATCTGCGTTCTCACTTAAACCCAAGAGCCTGAAATGAAACGCCGATGAGCTCCACCAAGCTGGTTTACAAGGGAAGGTTTGCTTCCATGTCCTGTTCAGACCTTTTTAGGGTCTCTGTGTTTCAGCAGATTAAATCAAAGTTAAAAGTTTTATCTTCCCCTCTTCTGAAAACAGCAGACATGATGGATAGAAGGTCCTGGGTTCAATTCCCATCCGTGTTCATTAAAGAGGTCCTTCGCTCCAATGCATCTGCAGTGGTTTCTAATAGAAATGAATGCCTTTTAAATCATACTCTGGGGGAAAACAAGCTCCGGTGCGCCTGTTACAGCATGGATAATTCAGCTGGAAGAGAAAACCGCTTCAGACGACAGGATCTGGAGGCTTATTTCCTGATATGTGGACATCTCTCCTCTGATTGGCTAACAGCAACATGACTCTACAACTGACTCTGTTTGCTCTGCAGGGTTGATGTTTTATCTCCACCATTAACACAAGTCTGGAGGAGTTCTGCTGTGTGGTGGAGTTGCTAATGCTAACAGTTAGCTTCTACTAGCCGAGACGTTCTCTGCTGTTTCCTGGACGCTAAACCAACAACAGCCTTCCCCGTCATGAGTCAAGGTGGGTGTATCCATGAATGTTAGTGACAGGCCCAATCCCAACACTAGCACTTCCAACCTTCCCTTATGAAGAACAAATACACGGTTACATATATTGGTTATCAATACATGTAACCGTATACTGATAACCAATATAGACACAAAACTGTAGGAAAATCTGAGGTGTCAGAAATATGTTAGACAGAATACCTGCGTAGTATATAGCGATATATGTACACAGGGAATTGCCGCTTTTCATAAATTGGCGAATATATTCCGTTATATGTTTACGTAAAGTGACCCATCATATAAGAAATAATATACCACTCAAATATATTGTCTATTTTCTATCAGACACTAATGCAGGAGATGGGTGTAGGAGACTATTTTAATGTTCAGCCTGCATGAAAACTGATTATAATCAGAAATAATCATTAAAACATGGTCTCAGTGCATTTGCTCATCAGTGGTGGATTAACATGGAAACTCCACATCAGTGTTACGTTTGCTTTTCATAGAAAACTTTAGTAACTTTAACATATAAAACATCAAAATAAAGTTTAGTATTTCTGCCGTCATTAGAGGTTCGTCCACCACTCAGTCAGCCAAATGAAAGATGGCTGCCGCTGCTGATCAACATTACCATGTGTTCAGCTTGATGGACTGTCCTGTTTAAGTAGCTCTGGTCTGTTGACTCTGTTAATGCTGGGAGCAGCTGGCTCATAAAGGCTGAGAGGATCCAGGCAGCGGGGGCCGAAGGGCCGGAACCTTCCATCCACCCAGTGGCTTCCTGTTTCCAGCTGCAGGGGAAGGAAACTGGCTGAACTCCGTCTCATCTGGAGAATCGCTGACCTTATTTAGAAGAAAAGCTTTCTGATTCATACAGAACACGTGGTTACAGACGTGCAAAAGAAAAAAGGGATTTCGTTTGCAGCTGTCCCCATCTAGTGGCTGAAAGGGTCACATGGTCTACTGTGGGTGTGTTATGTCATCTTTGCATTCTGAAGCCTCCTAACCCACTGGAGTTTATTCCCACACGTTCTGTTTAAACAGGAAATTAAAAAAGACAAAAAATTCATCAAATTTCCAATATTTACATCATCTCATTAGGCAAAAGTCACATTATCGGGATGTTTCTTCTGTAGAAAGTTAGTTCAGGTGGCGTTTACAATTTCCAACGCGATCCCTTTGTCTGGTTCGGGTCGGTGATCCGGCTCCAGAACCACCGCCTCTTCTTTCAGGCGGGCATCTTTGAGGATCTGTGAGATGAGCTGCTCATGAAACCAGGCCAGGTCCTGAGGGTCCTCTGGCCAGGTGAAGTACCTCCTCTTCTGGACAAAAGATCTGATAGCGTCACACTTCATGAGCTGGTAGTGAGCCACCTATGGGGGATCACAGCAGAAAGCAGCTTTTGGGTTGAGTTCTGTGACCACATCCAGGTTCTACTACTTCAGTCTGTGGTGTCAGCTCCTCCATCATGCTCACCTTCCCAACCACCACCATGATCAGGAGGTGTTTCAGCTCCTCCAGCATGCGGCCCTGGGCCAGGCTGAAGGCCTCCAGACACCAACCATCTGCAAGGAGCATGAGAATGTTATTTTGTCGGACTCTCACCCTCCTTTCCACCAGACATGAAAGCGATGTGAAACAATCACGAAATGTACGCTGCAGTTAGCCGCCGTTATAGCGGACGAGTTCCTTTCCCCCGGCAGCAAGGAGTCGCGTTTTAGACGCGTCCCAGGAGCAAAGGCACACCTTCTTGTCTATTTTTACGCGTTACACTTCCAGAACACGTCAAACTCTGCAGTTTAAATCAGGCCGGATAAAAAGCAAAATCAGTGTAAAATATCCAGAAACCTTCAAAATAAAAGTCAAGTGCAGTACGTAATTTCCTGTGAATCCCCATTGGCCGATGTCAACAGAACAGAAAAGACACCCCGACTCTTTTCTGGAGACGTGCAGCCGTCTTCCTCCTTGCTTTCTATTATGTGGACGTCTGAAATCACGCGTGGTGTTGCAATTCTCTCGAGATTTGTGACATCATAGGATCAGCTGTGTAGAACAAGTTTACTCCCGTCTCCTGGTCGGGAATGAGCTCGCTACGTTTCACACCGCTTTCACTTTTGGTGGAAAGAAGGGGTCAGAGGAGCCGCAGAATAAATGGACCCGCTGGGCATTAGACTTGGTTTGCTGTTCGACTTTTCTGTCTTAGCTCCGCCCGCTGATCACCTCCTTTCCCCAGAGTAGTCCTCACCTCCCACTGCCATTCTCCTGACCCAGCTGCACTCCTTTAGCTTTAGCTTAGCATTAAACACAGTAAGTGAATGGATCCAACTAGCATTGTGAGTAAAAAAGTCCTGAAAATCACACATGAAGCAGTCCCAAGTCTAACACGGAGACCTGTGATTCCTTTATGTTACTAATTATTTTCACTCTGATTATTTAGGTCACCGAGCAGAACTGGGATCACTACCCGGGTCAGGAGAACGACTGGGCTGGTTAATTTTTTCCCTCTTATCTAACTTTGGGAAATATGTCAACAGACAAAATTCCAATTTTGGGTGTAATGTCCCTTTAAAGTGTCTTGCCTAAGGACACAACGGCTGTCTCACAAGCCCTTAACTCCTGTCACCATCGTCCTTTAACGTTCACACTGTGGTGGTTATTAATGTCTTCACCAAACCAGTAGAACCAGTACCTGTAAGGAACCTCTTGGAGACGACACACAAGGTCTTCCTGCTGCTCCAGATGGCGTCTCTGATGTTGGACAGATGGTCCTCACCAGGCAGGAAGTCTCTGGCCTCAAAACAACAGCGGAAGAGATTTTCCTCTGAAAACTGGTTGTCCAGCTTCTCCAGCAAAGCGGCCTCCACCCACCGGTAGTCGCCGATGCTGAAGCAGACAAAGGCATCGTACTTCTGGTTGTTCTCGTTAGGGCTCATCTTTGGACCCTCGAGGAACCTGCTGACAAGCTTTTTGTAGGTGATGAAGATGTGACCTCTCAGGCGGGCGTAAATGACCCCGCTGAGTGTGACGGACAGGATGAGGATAGCAGAGAAGGTGAAAAGAGCAAAGCGAAGATCCTGAACATCCTTTTCATCGTCTTCCTCACAGGGTTCGATGATCATGGCATACTCCACCAGGGGAAGGTTGTGGACAGCAGCTGGAAACTCACATTTGTACTCCTGCACGGGGCTCCCTAAGATGACGTTGCTCGAGTTCAGCCACTCCAGGAAGTCCCACAGGGTGCAGTCACAGTAGAAGCGATTGGCTGACAGGCTGAGGTAGCGGAGCGACCGGAAACAGTTGGGATCAGGAGAGACTAGGAAGTTGTTTGAGAGGTGGAGAGTCTCCAGGCTGGGTGGGAAAACATCTGTCTGTAGATAAGTCAAAGCATTAGAAGAAAGGTCGAGCTCTGAAATGGAGCTGAGACCTCTGAAGATCCCCTGAGGAAGAGCCATTAATGAATTCAGACTTAAATTTAGATAGAGCAGATTGCTCAGGCGATCAAAGATGTCAAGACATGTCCGCTGTTCCCAAATAGGCTGTAGGGAACTTCCATGAAGGTCCAGAAACTTCAAACTATTATTATCAGGCATTCCTTGTCCCTGATTGATGGTGCACCACTTGAACAAGTTACCACCAAAAAACAAAAACTGGAGATGCTTTAACTGAGTCAGAATGACATAGACGTCCTCCATGTTTGTCAACCTGTTATCTGAAAGATCTACCACGGTGCTGTTCATAACCAGACTGATGTCTGCGCTGATGGAGTTCAGCCGATTGTCCTGCAGCCAGAGAGTGTTCAAGCTCGGAAGTGACGCCACAGATCCCAGCTGTCGCAGCGAGTTCCCGGTCAGGTATAAATGCCGTAAGTTGGGGAGCCCCTCGAAGGCGTTGTGGCCCAACTTGCCAATGTGGTTGTACGACAGGTCCAACAGGAGAAGCTCCGTCAGACTGCTGAATGTGTGGGCAAAGATTTCTCCTAACAGGTTAGAGGACAGGTCGAGCTCCTTTAAATGTCTCTGAAGACCACTGAAGGCGTTGATCTTGATCTGATTTATTTTGTTTTTGGAGACGTCGATGAACGTTAAATCTTTGAAAGCACTGAAGACGCCACTCTCCAAAGCAAAGATCCAGTTGTCTGAGAGATCTAAAGTCACAACCAAACTGTTGCCGAGGCCCTGGAATGTGCTTCTGTCCGGATCCGGGGTGTTGTTGTGGGAAAAGCCTTTGCCGATAATTCCACCGTACTTAAGGTGATGAATCGGAGTTCCTTGGATTGCATTGAAAAATTGTTTGGTTTTCTGGGCATTCAGTCCGTTGGTGGAGAGGTCGAGGAACCGGAAGGCCATCCCTTTGAAGGGGTTTCCACAACTCCCCCATTCAGCGTCAAAGTTGGAGAGCGAGTTCGAGTTTAAGCTCATCATCGTGAAATTCTTCCCTTCAAAGCCGACGACGTCCTCCTCGCATATTCTCTCAATGTGATTCAGTTTCAGGTTAAGCTTTGTCAGCTTAGTGAGATTCTGGAAGAACAGAGCCGGCTGGAGTTTTCCTATGTTGTTCCCGTAAAGGTCCAGCTCCTCCAGGGACACCAGTGGCTCCAGATAGGCTCCCGACAGTATCGAGTCCGTCAGGCTGCAGTAATACAGAAAGAGGACTTGTAAACGGGACAGTCCGTCAAACGCCCTCGGCTCCAGCGTGAGGCCACGATTAAAGCCGAGCTCCAACTGCACCAGGTTCCTCTGCCTGAGGAAAGAGTCGTTCCTGATGACGAGGACCGCTTTCTGCTCGGCCAGGTCTAAATACTGGAGCTCCGGGAAGTCTCTCAGAGAGGTGCTGTTGATCTCACTGATGTGATTTCCATCCAGAAATAGGTGAGTGATGGTGGGGGGCAGCACTGGAACCCAGCGGTGTCTCTGGAATGAGCATCTTGCCTTTTGTCCCATCAGAGAGCATGATGGGTAGCCCGTCGTCACCTGCAGACGGAAGGGTTGTGTTAGGAGCGGTCACCGTCTTTTACTTAATGACCGAACACTTGCTGGCTGATTCTCCTTCACTCTCGATTCTAAACCCGAACCTTCTCAGTTTGTTTGAAGTCAGGTGGTCTGATGAAGCTCGGCTGGATTTAGATAAGAGTCAAATCCTGACTGCAGGAGGAAGTTTTAACGGGTCGGTTATAGGAATGGTCGTCAGGGATCAACACTTTCCAACCTAGAAGTGTGTTACAATAGAACGGCTAATGTTGCGCACGTACCTGCAGGTAGAGCCCAGTCCAGATCAGCTGCAGGAGCCGCGACATGTCCTCGACCTGACGAGACAACAGGAACACACTCAGGCTGTGTAGCAGAGCTCTTGTAGGTGATATTCTCAGCTGGTTTAAAGGGAGCGGGAATGTGTCCGTACACAGAACTTCATTCATTGGATTTCGCCGCCAAGAGACATGGATGACACGCCCACATTCACGGCCAACTACCGATGGATGGCAGGCAGCTGCGCCTTCAGCAGAGGAAGCTGCTCTGATAGAGGAAGTCAGCCTCTTAATATCTGCAGCACCCTCCGGGATGACCAGCGAACACATCAAACAAGCACTAGCCCTCTGTCAGTATCCAAAACGGGCCATCGAAAACGGAAAGACAAGTCAAAGAAAACGAAAACAACAGAGAAACCAAGAAAAGTAAACAAAAGCAAAGATCAGACCACACCTACACGGACATCCTCACAGTTCCACATATCCAGGGAGCCACAGAACGGATAAAAAGGGCCATGAAAATCAGCACAACCTCTAACTCCGACAGCTACTGGTGCACCCCAGAGACTAAATAGAACCGGACAAGGAATGCATGTAATAAATGAAATACTATGTATGTAGTACAATAAAACATACATACGGGAAACTGGGAGAACATGACACAAGAAGAAAAGAGCACTGGGAAGAATGTGAGAAGGAAACAACAGAAAGACTCACAAGGACTTTCAGTCAGCCATCTCAGATCATTGTAAATGTAAGAATCACATCACGGACTGGGATCAGTGAAAAACACCAGCACAGGTTCACACGCTGGATCAGGGAGGCAGTAGAGATAAGGAAGCAGGAACAGTGGAACATGAACAGAGACGATGGGGCCTATCAGCTGTCTCGCACCTGCCAGCGCGGGTGGGCGTGGCCGACCCGGCAGATCTGACAGATCCAGGTTGGTCACGCCCATAAAGACGCGTCACACAAACATCTGTGACACTTCTGATGAAGACCGCAGTCGCCGGTCAAAACGTGAAGTAACACTCATAACACAACCTTACGTGTCCGCATCAATAAAGGACCTCGTTAAGTACGTAAGAAGAGGACATAGTGACCATTGTACAGGTCTCATTATAAAACTACAACACCAGTATCCCCAACTCCCTTCCCCCAGGGCCGGTAACCAGCACGTTTTAGTCGTTTCCCTAATCCAACCACTTGATTCACCTGTTCAGCAGCTCATCAGGCTCTACAGAGGCCTGTTAACCACCTGCTGATTAAAATCAGGTGTGTTGAATCAGGAAAAGCAGTAAAACATGCTGGATACCGGCCCTTGGGCATCACTGACCTACAGCCTCTGGACTAGATCGTTGTAACAGCAGAATCCGTAAAGCATCGTTTGTGACTTGTGAAACCGTTTTTGGATATTTGGAAAGCAGCATTTTGCTTTTCTTTTTTAAATGTGACAATGAAATTGTGTTCAAATGTACAAACGGGAAACTAATCTCGCCTGGAAGGGCAGCTGTCTGGGTGCTCAGCCCCCCTAAACCTCTGATGCTAGAATCGCCCCTGCTGTCACTCATTGCTGGAACGTGCACGGTGTCTTTTTTTCTCTCCTCTTGTCTGCAAGCTGCGGTGCTGGGTGCGCGGCGCGCGTGCCTGCAGTGAAGCGCGTCCTTGGCGCATTTGGAGAGAACGCGAGCTCTTGCGCAAAACGAAGCTCCCGTTGGAGCGCGTGTTCTGGGAGGGGCGGCGCTGCTGGGGCCTGGAAGGCTGGTGTTTACTTGAAGAAGGAAGATATTTTTTCAGAAATCTGGGAGATTTTGACTAATAAACGAGCGGAAAACAGCCGGTACACTCTCCGTACCTCAGAAACTGCGTCCCGGTGCGCTGCGCGGTGCTGCGTCCTCCTGCCTGGACCTTCCTTAAAGGTTACGTAAAGCTAAACCCGGGATCTGTCTGTTATCATGACTCACCTTTCTCCTCCATGCTGGACACTTTGTGGCGCATTAACGCTCCAAGCTGCTTAAAAGGTTTAGACTGAAGCTTTGAATAAAAATGAGCGCGCGCAAAAGAGAGCCCTGCTGTGGGACAAGCATCTCCTACCTGAGCTGCAGGCTCATCAGGGTCCTCTCGGTAGTGAACTCCGTGGTTGAATAGTGGAGATCTGAAGCAACTTCCTATTGAGCAAACACGGCCACCCTCTCGGATTTGTAACTTGTTGCTGCGTAACAAGTCGTTTGACCTCACGTGACTTCCGTCAGAACGTCAGGAAAAACCGCAAACCGCTCATCCATCAGCTCTGGGTTTGACCCCAGCCTCAGTGGCACCCAGCACTGGGCTGTTTGGGTCAAGCACCCAGAGTTGGGCTGATTGTAACCCCGCCCACATGCTGGGTCACCAGAACCCTTGGGTTGATCCTATTTATGTTCAACCAGCATTTATGTTATTTTAACCTTCATTTCCGGGTTATAATGACCTAACTAATGAGTTATTATATCCTATTTCCTCCTTTATCTAGATAATTACAGATCACTAATGTTAAAGCAGGGTTTAAGATATATTTTGTGTCCTTACATTTGTTCGTGCCTGATATTCATTCTAATAAATGATTAAGATCATTACAGCGGAGAGTGCAGGGATGACAGTATTAGAGCAAGTTTAGTGAATTATTAACAACAAAATGCCTCCAGATAACAGAAAAACTGAAACCGGATGTCTCTTCTTACTGTAACGTGTAAAAAGTGAATGAAAAACAAACTAAATAAATGTCTCTAAACTACTTTTATATTCCTGTCAGAAACAGAATATAGATGACCGAGTTGGCTGCAGTGCACACAGCTGATGGCACCTTAATGCTACTCAACAACCAAAACAACACAACATGTCATCTGCTTTGTTTTTCATTCTTCTTCTCTGCTCCTCCTTAAGTTGTTAAACTAAAGAAAGAAAAACACAAAGCATGATTTTTTTTAATTTCTTGGTAGTTTGATTAAAGTAAATGTTGTTTAAATCTGGAGCTGAGAGCATCAGCAGCACCGGACTTTTGTTCTGCACAGGTAAAAGAAGCTGTTTCACATCAATGCTGTAACACGATCTTCAGTCACTAAATACGTCAAACCAAGAAACCCAACTCAAACCATGACTTAGAAATGATGTTGTGTTTTTTTCCCCATTAGAAATAGCCTAGCCATAGCTTTTTGCATCACAAGCTAGCTAATAGCCTTTTGTCGGTTTAAAGGCCTTTCATGAGTCTGTTGGACTCTAGAAGAAACAAATCATTTGTAACTATAAAATATCTCTTTAAATCTGTTAGAAATCACTTTTTTACTCACCACATAGAAGGAGAAGTCCAGTTACCTGTGATCAGGTCACCGTCCTTTAGGAAATGGCTGTTAGTGAGGAGGAAGGTGAAGCATTTCTGGGAATTGTCTTCTTTTTTTATTCCCCCACCCCTCCATGCTGGTGACAAGCCTTACAGATTTATTTACTCTCAGGTGGAGCATCAAAGCGTCTGCTTTTAATGTCACGCCTGATACTTAAAACCTCATTGTTATTGTTTTTTATGCATGTTTACAAAAATAAACAATCAATGATGAACAAGAGTCTGCTTCTAGACCTGCAGAAAGAGAAAAACGACACACAACAATTCAACAGGAGCAAGCTATCACTGCATCAAGCTGATGAGGAAATATAAAATCAACATTGTTCAACTGAACAATCACGATAATAAATCACAGTGCATTTAGTGCCAACCACAGCCTTAAGACATGTGTTGAACGTGCCCAAGTCCATACTTATGTAACATCCAGAAAGGGTCAATTTTCACCTACATGTTGACCTACACAATGTCCGGTCATCGTCATGGATCTTATCAATATGTTTATCAATCATTTCCTGTAGTGGAGAGAGAAGGAGACAACGAGCAGACTAGTCGAACAGTTATACCTGTGGCAAGATGCCCCGGTCATCTGTTCACAGAGTTGAGAGAGAGAGAGAGAGAGAGAGAGAGAGAGAGAGAGAGAGAGAGAGAGAGAGAGAGAGAGAGAGCGAGAGAGAGTCAGCTGATTGAGTCCATGATGAAGAATTAATAAACATAAATTTTTCCATAACATTCCCTCCTGTTTATCCGAATAGGATAACCAAACAAAAGGAAGCAACAAAACCAAACCAAATAAGGAAAATAAAAATAAGCAAAATAATAAGGAATATTATCCACTTCCATAACTTGTCACCATTAACTATGAAAGCTACATCAGTCACGAATCAAGTAATAGAAAAGGCTAAGCTAGGAAAGGGGATCATCTCAGGTGTCATGAATAAGGGCCGATAGGGTACAAATCAAGTAACTCGAGACAAAAATATGCATCAAAACAAGAAAAATAACAAGTAAAGTAATTCAATTCAAAGATACTTTATGAAACACTACGATCAGACATGACAGGCTCAGAATCAACACGATGAGGTGGGAACACAGCACGAGGCGCTGCATTCGTCTGTCGTTCACAGATCGTAATCTCAATCCTGATACCTTCGTTCCAAGAATCATTCCATACAAGGTTCTATGCAAAATCAGCAAAATAATAACTAATAAGGTAATAAACACGATAAGGCAAACACAACTGACAATAAAATCTCACAGCAGTTCACAGAGATAGAGAATGGAATCGGCTAAATCAACACAATTATAACCTGAAGGAAAACGATTTCATACACGTTGAAATGAATTTACTGTGATGCACAATTCTACGACTAATGGCAGTTCCTGTAAGGAGGTTGGGAAGGGTTAGAAAAACCATAAAATACACAGAAAACACCAGTTCGGTGTATGGAAACATCAGGTGAGTTTAGTTTAAAGCTCCAAGTTGCAGACGAGTCTTTCTGTGAAGGAGGAAAAATGAAGGTGTAATATGAATTTACGCAGCTCTAACTATGGCAGAGCTGAGGCAACCAGGCGTTCTTCATCAAAGGGCTTGTCCGTGGACTGAGAGTCCCGCTTGGAGAGTAGGTTTGAAGGTCAGGGTCCTCTATCGTTGATGGTTTCAGTCTTATGTTGATGAGTGCCTCAAAGTCCAGGTCCAGAGCGTAATAACGTTCAACTTCTCAATAGGAAGACGTCAGGGTCCTTCCATGGTGTGTCGAGGCGGTTGTCCAGTTGTCAGGGAGCTGATCTTGTCCCCGAACGGTCCTTCAGGTCCTTGACCGTGAAACCAGCCTGGAGATTTGGGTGCAGGTGCTTGAAGTAGTCATCCTTGCCTTCTTGGCTGTGTCCTGTTGTAGATGCGTCCAGGGGGTCTTCAGCCGAGGTGGATGCAGGTTACGTCGTCCTGTAGGTGCGCGGTCAGGGAGGAGCCCCAGTCCGTCGTTTCAGTTGCAGTTCTAGTACCCCCTCAAACGCTGCTGTCCCAGTCATTCCATCAGGTGCTTAGAGGCGGCCCAAGTGCAGGCCCATGAGTGCAACCACCAACATCAACAATGTGGTGAACCCAGCAAGCTCGAAGCAGATCTTTATTTTATCTTGATCTTGATCTTATCTTCTCTGGTTTGATAGGTGGCACCCTAGTGGTGGCCCACCCCTGTGTAGCCGCGCTAAAGCGGTTGGTTGATAAGCTTGCAGTGGGATGGATGAATCCAAGATGGCCTCTCAGCAATCTTCACAGCAGTGGGAGTAATGAGGAGTACATCGAATGGACCTCTGGCTGCCCCATGTTTCGCTTCAGCACCTTCATCAGAACCCAATTTCCTGGTTTCACGACCTGTGGCGAAAAAGCACAAGAACATTCTGGGAGATCACTGTTGATTTTGAATTGTTTTCAGCAACAATCATTTAATATTTAAGGTGATTCCATCCAGGCAGTGTAATAATGGGAGGACATCTTTATCAGCCTTCCCTCCTCTTGAGGCATGAGGCAACTCGGGGCTCACCAGAAACGAAACATAAACAAAAGGGTCCGATACCGGCAAGCACTGCGCCAACCCGATGTTAAAGTAGGACCTCACATGAAAAACACCCATCCCAAGGAACGTGCAGTTACTAGTTCCTGTCAGCAAGGGGCCGAGTCGTGCAGCACTCAACAACGTCCTGCTCTATACTGAAGGAGAAGATGCTGCCATCACTCCGTGCACGTGGTCGTCGTGCACTTTTCCAACCTGACAACGATCCAAAGCACACATCTAAAGCTGCTGCTGTGTTTCTGAAGAAGAACAGGATGAAGGTGACTGAATGGCCAAGTGTGTCTCCTGATCTGAACCCAGTCCAACACCTGTGGGGAGTTCTGAAGCAGCAAGTGGAGCATCACCCTCCATCCAGCATCCAGGCTCTAGAAGAGGTTCTTCTTAAGAATGGAGACAGGTTGATGTTGCACCGGCTCTCCCACTGGTTCACTCCATGTCTAGAAGACTTGGTTCTGTCCTTGAAAATCACAGCGGTCATACAAAACACTAGATCTAGTAGTTTTTGTTGCAGAGTATTCATTTTTGTTTCAACCAATTTTAGTAAAACTGAAGATTTTGTGATCAAAGTTATATTATTAACCTTAATTTCATGTTATGGAGTTTAAACAAGTGTTCAATCAAACCAGCCTTGTGGAAACTTTGGATTGTTCTTTTGTTCTCTGAGCTGCTGAATAAATCAGTACTTTTAAAGGGGGTGTACTCTTTTATGCCGAGCGCTGTAGCTAAACTTCCATGAATCTGGTGTTAAAATTCATTTCAATTCAATTCAACGATACTTTATTAATCCCAGAGGGAAATTAGAGTTTCAGCACACACAATTCTGAGATCAGACATACAGACATAGACACATGACAAGAATTGGTGACTGTGGTCATTCGCAACCTGAGTCGCGCTACCTTAATAGAGATCAGTGTTTACACGAGGATTGGTTCAGGTGGAGGGAAAAAAGGCACTTCAGAGTTACCCTCCACAGGGAGGGCAGCTTTGCTCTGCAAAAAACACCTCAGACAGAAATCCAACAGACTTCAGACATCACACCACATAAGTGTCCACTAGGTGGGGGGGGGTGGGTTGGGGACTCTCCTCACATCAGTGCATGCAGCCGCAATGAGCAGCGCTCGTCACCTCCGTCTGGACCGGGGAGGGAGGTAATTGGGTTAGAAAGCACAGTGACTCCTGGAAACGGTTCCACGGCCTTCACCGGTCTCAGTCCCGCCCAGGCTGGAATGGGGGACAGAGTTGCCATGGCGACGGCAGCATTCCACATTTCTTCTGAGGGGGAGTAATCACTTCAGCCTCACAGGCTCAAGAGCACCAGATTCAGGTAAGAACTTGTTTTGGGGCCAGACAGAGATAATTTCCTCTCTGTCTTAAAGTTCTGTTGGTCCTCAACCCCTCTAGATCCAATAATGACGTAATTAATCTATCTCAATCCGTGCTGATCCGTCAACTCTCTCCTTGATCGAATCAACCTTCCGTGCCAGAGCCTGAATCTCAGCCAAAGTTCCAAGCTTACGACTCATCTCGACAATTATATGAGTTTGCGTTCACAGCACGGTGTAATCCATCCCTGAGCTCCGGGATTGAGCCAATATTCCTCGAAAACTCATTAATTTTCTGGTAAGCCAGGCGACCGCCCAGGCCAAACAGCAGGAAACCTGACACCAACACCACGAATATCCAGACGTCTTCAGAATCCTCTACAGACAGCTGAGAGAGGCAGATCAGGTTCCACTGTTTCCAGGAGTCCATGATATGCCCAGCTGGCTCTGTCCCAGAGGGGCAACCGGGAGCCCCTTCTCCCGTTCTCAAAGCTGAAAAATGTTGTCAATCACGTTGAGAGACCAGCTGACCAGGTCCAGTTTTAATAATTTCCAGTTTCCAGAAAAAATGCAGAAGCGCCGTACACCCAAAGACAGATAAAGAGCCTTGGGATAAGATGGGGAGGAGGAAAAAAGCGTCTGAACTCTCCTCTTCATATTGTAGTGACCTTAACTCAGGAATCAGAAAACTAAATAAATACTCATTTCCTGTATTAAAACGTTAAAATTAATTTTTAAACTCTGTTTTCTTGCATAAAAATTTCTTCCATTTTAGCTTTTTTGTCTCCTGTTTCAGATCAGCTAACAAAGAGATCAAAGTTTGAATTCAGACCAAGCCCCCACAATGCGGCTCAGAAATTGGTCTCAACCCGGAAGTACCAAAAATAGCAGTTCCACCCTCATCCACTAGGGGCTGGTGTCAGAAGCGAGCAAATCCTCATTGACTCCCATGTTAAAAATACCAATTTCCCAGCAGAAATAAACATGTTTACAGCCTGGTACCAGAACATGTTTTAGGTTTAAATGATCTAGTTTACACTCATGACAACTCTGAGGGGGGTGAATGTTTTCTCACTCTTCTGTTTAAGTGCATTAAAAGCCTAAAATTATGTATAATTAATGAGCATCAGACCCACGTGACCACAGAGCTAGCTCCATGGAAAGGCCTCAGTAGAGCCTCGGTCTGGCCTGGAAACTGCTCCGGGATTTTGAGTCTCTGTGTGTGTGTATTCTTGTTTGGATATTATTTGTGCAATTGTTGGACAAAATGACTTGCTGTGGCATTAATTGCACTAATAGAGCGTCCGAGGAGTCTCCACTTCATTTTTTTCGGTAAGTAAAATTATATTTATGTATTTTAGGTCACTGCCGAGCTGAGCTTAGATTTTAACATGTACTGTTTAACCATGAAATTTAAATGTAATAGGGTAAAACCCAGTGCATTTAACATAATGCTGCACTTTAGAAAATGGGTTGAAATATAACATGTTGGTGGAGCTGGGTTCCCACTATCGGCTTGTGGAGCTCTCGGGAGACCTCTGTGTTCCACCCGGTTTTACCCAGCGGTCAGCCCGGCGTATCTCAGAAGCTCTGGTGTTGTACACAGTTAACTCCGGTTGTAGCTAGGTTGCTACCTCCGTTAGCTTAGCTCCCACCTCCACGTTAGCTTTGGGTTAGCTTCAGGTTAGCTTGTAGCTAGTTCGACCGGGTGTCGTCAGTTGATCCCAGCCTTACAGCCCCACCCTCAGCTCCACCTCTCTTCCCTTTTATGGAATTGTCTGGGCTTGACGGAACCTGTGACACGGTCAAAGTGGCGGTGGTGGTCACCTCCCATTTTAGTACAAAAACGTGTTATTGGAGTCTATGGAAACCCATTATCCATATATGTATATGTCGATGATTTAGACGCAGGGTTTAAGGTCAAAGGTCAGATATAATATAAACCAGTTCACACGCCAGTGAAGTTTTTTTCTTTTATCAGAAAACAAATGTGGGAAAACTTCATGTTTTCACTGAAAAGTAAAACTGTTTTTATGATAAAAGTTAGATTTTATGAGTTCTGATCCATTATGCTGTCATTATGAATTTCCTCCACATGGTGGCAGAATTGGCCTGCAGATCAGGACGAGTCAGGAAGGGAAACACAAGCATGTGCATCACCTGATCCGAGGTCACACCAAAGACTAAAAATATAAATCCTCCCTGGTGACCCTCAGCTTTAAGGGGTTAAACCAGATTTAAGCCCAGCTCCAGAGAGCTGCAGCTCACTGCTCCCCCAAGGGAAGGGTGAAAAGCAGAGAACAAATGTCTTACACCAGTGTGTGTGCTAATAATAATAATTATTATACTGTGTTGAATCCTCCTCCATCTGCAAAGTTAACACGAGCTCCCGGAGGCTTAGTATGGAGTGCTGAATGTAAAATAATAAACTTTTTTTTAAACTTTAACCATATCTGACCACATTTAGCTTCAAATATTAAATCTGGAATGTGTTTAGGATAAAATCTAGATAAACTAACCTTAACCCTAACTTATATGTACATTAAATTTAAATATTTAAAATCATAAAAAAGTTCAATTAAATGCAAGAGTTTGAGATTACATTGAAATATTTAAAAACAGATGTGCATATTTAGAAATAAATAAATAATTAAATAAAAAAAATCTTCTATATCACCAGTAACTAAATAAATATGGCCATCACCACCAGAGTGTGTTTGTGTGTAAGTGAACGCCTGACCGGCTGTGTTGTAAAGCACCTTGGGGGGTTCTAGGACTAGAAGGCCCTTTACCTTTTAAATACTTAAATTAAAATCTAAATATAATTAAAATGAAATATTTAGGACTGAACAAATATCTTAAAATGCACTGCTTATATTTATGTTCAGACTCTGGTTTGTTTATTATTTAGTCCCGTTTGTTTATTTTTATTCTTGTTTATTATTCTCCCCAAAGCATGAGCATGAACAAACAGTAACTGTCTATAATAAATAATATAATAAATCTAATAATTGTAAAATATTTAAATGAAATCTGTAATTTAAAATGAACAAGGGTTAGGGTTACTAACCCTAAATTAAATATTCAGCCAAGATGCTAATTCTACCATAACAAAATAAATGTGGGGTGACCTGTCAGGGTCAGACTGAATGAGTTTGTTTACATATATTTATCAGTGTGGTCGAACCGGGACGTTACCACCAGACAGACTCATGTCGGCTATTTGAAATATTTAAACACGCTTATTTAAATTTGCTGATGCAACTTTACACTTAAACTACATATTTAGATAAAAACTTTATTTAAGACTCCAAACACGTACGTGTTGAAAAAGTCACTTTAAATGTTTCACACCAGAGTTTTATTCATTCACTTTTACACGTATAACTTTACGATCAGCGCCCCATAGCACCTGTTCACAGGTAGGAGTCGGGATGTTGTTCAAATCCAACTGTTGTTGTGTTTAGAAGCTGTCCACGTGGCTGTGTGTCCTGACCCTCTGTAAACTGTGACTGTCCTCCCCAGCAGCCCGGAGGGGCCCCGAGGCGCTGCTGCTCTTCCTGCCCCTCTGCCTGAGTCCCAGGTGAGCTGCGAACACCAGCAGCGTGATGAGGACCACCACGCACACGATGATGCCCACTAGACCTCCGGGAGTAATGGCAGAGGGGCGGTGTGTCGGATCAGGATCCTCGTTGAGGCTGGTTGGGTCAGGAGTTGGGGCCCCCTCTTCTGGGCCCTCCTCATCGGTTTTTACGCACCTGTACTCCTCCACCAGTTTGAACCCGGGGTCGCAGGAGCACACGTACCCACCGAACGTGTTTACGCATCCTTGGTCGCAGTAGGAGAACGCACACTCGTCTATTTCCAGACAGAAGGTTCCGTCGGGCCTCTCCTCCGCCACGTACCCTTCCGGGCAGTAGCACTGGCGCCCGTCGTTCGGGTCGCAGACGGCGGGACACTCGTCCTTCCCGCAGAACAGTTTGCACCTATCCGGAGACGCTTTGTCCACCACGTATCCTTCATAGCAGAGGCACCTGTAGCTGCCAGGTGTGTTCACGCACTCGTGCTCGCATGGCGCGGACACGCACTCGTCCCTGTCTACGCACAGTCCGCGTCTGCTCGTGAACCCAACCTGGCACACGCACTTATATCTGAGCTGCGTGTTCACGCACATAAAGTTCTCTCCGGGACACTGACGCTCGTTCGTGCACTCGTTGAAGTCCACGCACGACGTGCCGTCCTCCGCCAGCCTGAAGCCGTGCTCGCACCCGCACGCGCCGTCCATGAAGCAGATCTGCTGGCATCGCCGCTCGGCGCACGGGTCTCCCAGTCCCGACGACTCGCACGACACCTTGTTGCCCGGGTTGATGGTTCGGCCCGGAGGGCAGACGCAGACCGGGTCGTTGTCAGGCCCGGGAGCGCACCGGTACTCACAGCCACCCACGCTTATCTCGCAGCTCCACGGCGCAGGAAGCCACCCGGCCGAGGAGCAGATGGACCTGGTCCCGGACGGGAAGCGGGTCGCGGTACTTCCAAGCGGAACCATCGGAAGATCGTCCACCCTGAATCCGTAGGGAATCATGTAGGAGACGGACTCCCCCGGCCCGACAGCTTGGGCCTGGCACTGCTCTGTGGAGCCGAACTCACAGAGGAACCCGGCGGTGCTCCGGCCGCACCGTGTCGGTCTCCACCGGAACCCGTCCTGCCCGTTAACGGACACGCAGCGCTCCACAGAGCAGCTGCTGGTAAAGTTCTGCAGCCAGTTCCTGAAGTCGCTCTCGGAGTCTGCGGTGACCCACTGGAACCCGCTGAGCTTCGCAGCCGGTTCCGGACAGCCGCTGGGTCGATGCAGACCGATCCAGAAGCTCCCGGTTACGTTTCCCACCAGGACGGACAGAACGTCGTTTGACACCGAGGTGCGGACCGTCATCAAGTGTCCCCCCAGATCTTGGCAGTGACTCTGTGCGGTTCTGAAGTCGCTCGGAACTCGGAACCAGGCGAAGCACCCTTTACCGATGCAGTAGCCACTGTGAGGCGTCAGAGCTCCGACTGGTCCCAGCAGCAGGACCAGCAGGGTCCACGTCCCCATGTCCATCCGGATCCTCGGCCTGATCAGGTTCTGGTGGGATCTGCCTGCTTGTTACAGAACCAGTCCACTCCCCAGTAAGCTCTGGAGTCCATGCTGGGACCCACTTAGAAGAAGGTTCTGCCCGCTGCTGGCCTCTTCATCTGAACACATCCACGTTACGCACGGCTTTTACGCGCTGACGCACTGGGCCGTGTGCACGCACCGGGGGTTTACCCCCCACCCTCTAGCAAGCCCTCCCTACTGGACCCGGGTCAACATCCTTTAGTCAGTAACCGGTTCAGAACCCAGATGGTTCTGATCCAACTTTCTGTCTCTTTGTTTTTATTTCAAAAGCAGTTATTTTTATTTTGGGTTATTTTAACAAACTAGAGCTGCTGCTGTGGTCAGATAAAATAGTTCTAAAGATAAATAAATAAATTCAATAAATAAATAAATTCGCTTCCCGGCCTGGGGTATTTCTGCATGGAGTTTGCATGTTCTCCATGTGCATGCGTGGGTTCTCTCCGGGTTCTCCGGCTTCCTCCCACAGTCCAAAAACATGACTGTTTGGTTAATTGGTCTGTCTAAATTGTCCTTATGTGTGTGTGTGTGTCTGTGTACATGCGTGCGTGCGTGCGTGTGTGTGATTGTTTGTCCTGTGGTGTGGGTCTGTCCCCCCCCCCCCCCCCCCCCCCCCGACCCTATATGGACAAGCGGGTTCAGAAAGATGGAAATTAATTAATTAATTAACTGTCCCAGTGATGGTGATAAGCGGGGTTCCTGGTGACGGCTGTAGGGAAAAGCTCTGTTTAAAAACAGGAAGCAATAAGAAAATCATAAATTTATTTCAGAGCTGTTACTATGGCAGACATGTTTTTTAGCATCTGCTGTAATAAAATCCAGAGTAAAACCACAGTAGAAAGCTTTATTATGAGCATGTCGGACACGTGGATGTACAGCCAGGATGTTGCTTCAGCAGCAGGTTCTTACATCTGTGTGGAGCTGATGGAGCAGAACGTTCACAAACACAGAACCAGGAGGAGCTGCAGAACATCGTCTCTAGCCTACGTCTGTGTGAGCGTCTGCTCTCAGACCAGATCAGTAGATCTGCTGGGTGTGGTGTCGTTAATCAACAACCAAATCATGTTTTACATAAAAACACGTCAGCTGGGCTGGAGCCACATTCATACAGAACAGGAGCAGAGGACTCCACGTCTCACACATCACTTATTTTCTCCATCAGGATTTTCATCCTGCATGTTTTTTATATTTGTCTTAATGCAGAATACACATTTTAAAACTTCATTTAAAAAAAAAAGCACTTTTTAAAGAGTTTTCCTACTTTGGTAATATTGTGACTCAGTCAATATAGGAGGCAGTTGAGCGAGTGTGGAGCTTTCCCATCAATACAGAAACAAACAACAACAAAAAACCACAACCAACCAAAAAGTAAACATTAGAGCTTTAGAATAAAAACATCATCATCATCATCAGAACCAGAACACCACAGGTTTGAGTCGCCTATCTGTAAATGATGCCTTTGAAAATAATATATTTTTGTTTCTTCCAGCTTGTTTATAAAGCCCTAATAAAAACATCAACATGTACCAAGTTTTGTCAAATAAAAATGAAGAAAATACAGTAAAACAAACCACTTCAATCAAAGGCCAGAGACAAAAGGTGAGTTTTAAAGAGAGTCGGTCCGTTTTACATTTGTAGGCAGCTTGTTCCACAACCTGGGAACGACCTGCAAAAATCTATTTCCTGTTTTGGTCTGGGGAACCACGAGAAGCCCTCAATCAGCTGATCCAAGAGAAGCACATACACAGGCTGCAATTATTGTTTCTTCAACAAGAGGATTAACAATAACAACAACAACAATAATAATAAAAATAATACAAATTAAAAAATATAATCATAACTATTATAATAAAAATAATAACAAAAAATATGATATTAGTTATAATAATAATAATAATAACAAAAACAAGAACAATAATAACCAAAAACAACAAAATAATAATAATAATAACAACAACAACAATAATAACAACAACAACAATAATAATAATAATCATAATAAGCCATAAATGTCTTCAGTGTAAGTTTCTGTAGAAAAGTTAAATTAGAACATCTTGTTTAGGAGAAGCAGGTTAGTTCTAATTAAAGCTGCAAGCTAACACAGCTTACAGAGCTAACTGAGCTAACGTCTAACAAAGCTAACAGCTAACAAAGCTAATGCAGCTTACAGAGCTAACTGAGCTAACAACTAACGGAGCTAACATCTAATAGAGCTAACAAAGCTAACACAGCTTACAGAGCTAACATCTAACAAAGCTAATAGCTAACAAAGCTAATGCAGATTTCAGAGCTAACCAAGCTAACAGCTAACTGAGCAATCGTCTAACAGAGCTAACAGCTAACACAACTTACATAGCTAGCTGAGCTAACAAAGCTAGAGCAACATACAGAGCTAACTTCTAAGTGGGCAAACCGAGATAACAAATAACAGAGCTAACAGCTAACTGAGCTAACTGAGCTAATAGCTAACTGAGTAAACTGAGCTTACAACTACCAGAGTGAACGACTAATCCCAGAGGAGTCTGATGTTTAAAGTGGAAAACCATTAATATCTGGAATCAGTTAACATCAGAGAATATGTAAATAAATTATCATGAGACTCACAAATCTGTTGGTGCATTGTTGTCAATGAGGCATGGAAAAATCTGACATTATATCTGATCCATGAGTGCATCATATCTTGTTAGCATATCTTCATTTGTGATGGACATGCATTAAAGTTGAACGGCACAGGTTGGTCATTCCTCCTCACTTATGGTGCCAACATGATACGAAAAGTAACACCACATTTTCAGCACTGATTGAAGTAATAACTAAAAACAGCAATGCCCCACAATAAACATGCATAAACACCCCAAAATAGAACAAAATAACTAAATGCATGACTACCCAGAATGCATCTCACCACCAGTTCTTTGTTGTGTCTGAAATCCACCAAAATTGCTTATTTGTGCTTGTTTTTTCCTATAGATCCACAAATATTTTAAGAAATATATAAGTCTGTTTATCAGACACACTTTAAGTTGACAAAGATGAATAAAATAATAGAGAAACATAAAATTATGAATTAATATTTTTAGGTCATATTACTCATTCAAGTTAAGTAGTTCTTTATTGATTTATTTAAGTTAGGCTAATTAAAAATATGTTTTTCAGATTAATTAAAAAGTTTGAGTTCTATGTACTTAAAACAAGGAAAAGATTGAACTAATTCAACACATTTTAGTTCAAAAAACGTTTTTATATCAATTATATTAGATTATTTTCAACATTTGGGTTTACAGTGCATTATTTTAAAACATTTGATCACTCTCATAAGGCTGGGTGTTAAAACAATACTAATATACGTCTACAAATAAAAATTCCTTCATAGAACACATGAGAACAGGTCGACAGGAACAGCCAATCATATCAGGTGTTGCTCCACGCTGACCAGTCAGTCGCTGGAATAGCGGCACATGGGAGCCAGACGTTCTGCTAACGGCTAATGCTTGCACCCTTAAAAAAGGATGGACGATGCATCACTGACCATGACGACCTAACAGGTCAGTCGTGTGGATGACGTCGTCCGTTTAAAGTCAGACAAAAAAGGAATAGCTGCACCGCACGTTCTGACAAAATCAGGGGAAACCCCGGATCTGTTTTAGCTACCGAACCAGAACCAACTGCTGCAGCAGCGGGGTGGGGTGAGTGAGTGTCCTGCTGTCATGTGACCTCTCCGTAGTCTCTGTGATGGACCCATAAACAAGGTCAGAGAAGATCTCTGTTTCTCCAAACCGAGACTGTTCTGGCAGCTACCAAAAACAAGATCTTAATTCTTCACTTGAACCGGTCTGAAGTTCCATCCTGAAGCTGACTCTCTTATGGAGATGAGAAGCTGGAAGTCCACGAGTCAGAACCAGATCAGAGTCTCATGTCGCTCTTTGATTGTTTATCAAATGACAGCCTCTTGTAGGTCTCTGTTGTCACCTGCTGCAGGTAGAAGATGTCCAGATCCGGATGTCTGATGGAGGTCAGGTCCAGGCGGCCGCAGCGCCTCATCATGGTTCGGACCAGGCAGCCCAGCCCGGCCGCGCACAGAACCAGGAACACGGTGATGCCCAGGACGCTGCCGGCCTTGATGTAAGAGGGCAGGGCGGGTCTGAGGGGTTCGGGTGATTCGTTTGGAGAAGGAGGGAGGCGGTTCTCCTCCTCCCCCTTCTCCTCCAGGGGGACACACCTGTCCCCCCTCTCCAACCGGAACCCCCGGTGACACGCACACCTGTAGCTACCGAACGTGTTCTCACACAGGTGGTCGCACATCTGCTGCTCGCATTCATCGATGTCCACACAGTCCGCGGTCCGGTTCACCAGGTCCACGATGTACCCGTCAGGGCACGTGCACTGTTGCATGTCCCGCTCCTCCAGGTCCGGGTCCCGGTGGCAGACCGCCCGGCACACCCTCTCTGGGCAGTACTGGTCGCACCGGGTCGGATCTCTGGGGGACACCCGGTACCCGTCCCGGCACGCGCACCGGAACTCCCCGCTGACCCGAGAACAGTTGGAGTGTTCACACAGCAGGCAGATGGAAGCGTTCACGCACGCGCCGTCCTCTTCCTCGAAGCCCTCCATGCACGTGCACTCGTAGCCTCCATCAGTGTTCACGCATTCCTCACCCTCCTCCGTGCACGAGTCCTCCTCCTCCGCGCACTCATCCACGTCCACGCAGCGCGTGCCGTCCAGCGACGGTTCGAATCCGCTTCTGCACTGGATCTGGTGACCCGGCGCGGGGGTGGCGGGAGCGCGCGCCACGCAGGAGAAATTGTTGGGATGCAGCGCGTGCGTGACAGGGCAGGTACAGAGATGGTCGCATTCGTGCTCGCAGCCGCCGAGCAGAACCTCACAGAACCAGGGGGCCCGGTGCCACCGGCCGTGGCACAGCTGTTTAGAGTCCGGGTAGGGGCCTCCGGACCAGACCTCCTCAGCCACGGTACCCGGTGGGAAGGAGTCCGAGTCCACCACCGCAAAGTTCGGGGTCACGAAAGAGGTCGTGTACGTGACGTGCCCGATTCCCTGCACGGGACTGCAAACCTCAGAGGGATCAAACCGGCAAACAAATCCGTCCAGTTGGTTCCGGCACGGTACCGACTGGACTGTCACGTTGGCCCCGCTCCTCATGGACACGGCGGTGCAGTGCGTGCCTCGGGGACTGCGCAGCCAGAACCTCCCGTCGAACCCGTCTGGCAGCTCCACCAGCACCTCCGTCTGGTTTTCAGCCAGCTGTCCGTTCGTGAGCCTGCACGACTGCTCCGCCCCCCGAAAGTCCACACGGTTCTGGAAGAGGCAGAGACCCGGAGCGCTCCTCCCGGTGCACCGAACCACCGGCTCCGCAGTCGCGTCCCGCAGCCAGACCCAGAATCCGCACAGGATCAGAGCTCGGTTCATGGTGCCGGACCGAAGGCGTTCAGGTCCAGACCTGGGCTGGGCCGTTTATAAAGGCTCCGGACTGTTTTTCTGTGTTGGACCAGGCGAGGGAGGAAGTTCCGTTCTGGCCCCCAACACACACACACACACACACACACACACACACACACACACAC